GATCTGAAACAAACAATGCTAGCATTTTCTGCCAAAGGTATGTAGTACAGGAACACAGCAAAATAAAGGTATGATTGCAAGGTGTGTGATTACGGCTGTGAGTCCCTTTCACATTAATCTAAAAAATTACTTGTCAATTGATTACAGGGATGCCATTAGCTAAATTTTTACTAGTAGCTTTACAGATATGGTAACACCTACAATCATCTCTAAGAGACTATAAAAAGCATTGTCAACATAAGAATGCTTTACATGGTAGTCACTGCAGGGGGTATAATCTATTCATGGGACAAAACCTATATAAGAAAAAAATGTTTATACCAAGTGCGTACAAAACTGCTTTACAACATACCACATTTTCTCACATACAACATATACCTTTTCTCCAAAAACCAGCTACTGAAAACTGGAATATGCATTGTATATGAGAAACATTTTAAGAGCAGTTTCTACTGCTTAATTAGGCAAACGTAAAATCTGCAGTTGATCCACAGTGAGAATAACAGACAGTGAGAATAAGGCTTGGCTCTCTGGCTACTGCTATTCAGGTATTACAAGGAATGATCAGTTTTTCTTCTTTCTGCCTTTCCAAAAAAAGGCATCTTACTCAAGGAAGTATCGTACGTGCAAAAATATGGCAAATAAAACTCCGCTGCTCAATTTGCGTAACTTATAACATCCCATCTAATTTTGAAGAATACAGTAATACTTCTTGAAAAGCAATGATGGTAAGGAGATTGTGGAGATATAAGAGCTGATGACATTTTACATAAAAGATGTAATTAATATATACTCACTAGGGCTGTGCAAAGCTTTGGTCCCCGATTTGCTTCGGTGGAGATTCAGCCCAATTCGGTGACTGAATCTCTGAATCAGAGACCCTTAAATCTCTTAGAGATTCAGAAAGACTCGGTGATTCAGACATAGACACAACTTTATATGTTTTTTCTACATACCTCTAGGTAACAGGTGGCTAGTGAATGCTGCGATGCTGGGGTGTATGAAGTATCCTACAAAAGTGAAGGGACTCTCCAGCACGCTCGACAGCAGACCCAGAAGTGGACCAGAAGCACTTCCAGTCCACTTCTGGGTCTGCTGCAGTGTGGCAGGGGGCCCTTCCACGACCTCTTGCTTGGTGACTGGTGCCTCCTGTGTCTGGAGGGGCATCCAGGGTTCCCCTGCAACTGGTGGCTGAGCTGGCTGGGGCTCATGGGGACCTGAGCACGCTCCCCGGAAGAGGAACAGAAGTACTTCCGGTGCACAGATTCACCGTTGAGCATGTGGGGAACCCCCCACATTCCTGTGGGATGCTCCACCCGCCCCAGCACCGCAGCATTAACAAGCTGCACTGGTACCTCAAGGTATGCTGAAAAAGCATTTAAAGCTGTGGCTTTGCTCAAATCATTCATTCTCTGAATCAGTATCAAATCTTCAGTTTTAGATTCGGCCAAATCGAATCAGAGACAGCGATTCCAATCAACGAATTGAATCACTGTCCCCGATTTAGGATGAATCTGAATTGAGCAGGGCCCACTTTACATACCCCTAATACTCACCTACATATAAATGTCCAAATTCAGCCTTTAATGGGATTGTACATGGTGAAGGTCAATAAAAAGCCCTAAAGTGTATTAACAACGGGCCCCATAATTAGACTGGGACAGCAAATTTTGGAAGCCTTCTTATGATAATTTGTAAGATCTGACACTAAGTCTCTTTCACAATCCATTAAAAGCAGTGAGAATCTTCCATTTCTTTGGCATTAGACCCTGTATAATAAAGTCTACACTATACAAGAAACATCACATATATGTTAACCATTTTGTTAACATATAGTTAACATAGTTATGAATGAAGAATAAGTGCTTTATTCATTGTTTGTGTTCATACTATCACAGCAAATATTTTTGCTTTTCTTCCTCACAAATAAAAACCAAACAATATTAACATCAACTTTTCCCATAGAACCTAATGATTTTTGAGGGCCCTGGTTTCAAATAGCAAATATGAGACACTTAAGGCTGTAGGAGGGGGCACAGCTACGAAAACAAACCCTGCCAGTTATTCTTACTATTCACATGCTACTTTTCTGGTGTGCAAAAGTGTGCCCAGTGCTGCTGTCAAGCTGCAGAGTGCTCATTACAGCAGAGCTGGCTCTACACAGACCTGCTGTAATCATAACAAAGACACATTTTTTCAGCATGTGGTGTGTTTGGAACATGAACAAGTGGGTAGAGCTCCCGATCAGTCTGAGATGGCACAGACATGCCTCTAGGATTTAACTTGTAGTGGTTCTGAAGACCAGCTGCTCTCAATGTATATATAAATATAGTTTACACATAATGACTTTTTTTGTCAAATATCCAGCTGGAGCAATATCAAAAAAGCATCAGTTTTGGAAAAAAATATTAGAGAACATGTTTAATTTTAACTCCTCCACTCTATTTCTGCAACATGCTGCCTGTTTCAAGATACACCAAAGCAAAGCTGGGAAAGACATCAAAAGAAATATAAAAGCACATGGATCACAATAAGTTTAACAGTAGCCAAAGTAATCAGGTTCCCACAGTGCAAGCCAGAGACAGTGCCAACTGGAAGACAGTAGACCATATCCTTTATAAAGGCAGCCTCATTTGAGAAAAATTACACAGGGCCAAATTCATTTCCATGTGTTTTTCTTCAATAAGAGTTGTGACATTTGACCTACAGAATTTAAAACATAACTAAGCATACAAGCATTGAAGGCATGCCCACTTTCAAATGACTACTTAAGAGAAAGACAGTACATTACATGCTGAAAGGAATGTAATGTAACCATTTTAGTGTGGCACTGGGTGCCTGCCAAAATATGCCCAAGACAACATTTATCTCAGTGTCACTCACCTAAGGCAGCTGAGAGACATGGTTTAGTATGTAACACGGGTGCAGCAGGTGCTTTACTGTGGCATTCTCTAGCATGATCCTTGACAAGACACATACTGATAGGTTCCTTTTCTACAGCAGACTTTTTTCTTCCTTTTTCTCCTCCTACTTCTTTTTATTTTTGAATTCTAAGATAGATGATAATGTTCTTGAAACAGACATGGCTACTTTTGCTGCTACTTCAATGTCTTTTCAGCTGGGGGGACTTAAATCACTTTAAATTGAAAACTCTTATATTAAAGAGGCTATTGAATACAGGGAAAGGAATCAATACCCACATAGGTTTACAATCAGATTTAACTAAAGTATTTAACTTAAGTATAGTTTCACTAATTGAGAGAAACATTTAAGGCCTATTTTAGTAACTGAAGTAGTTTGGTGCCTAAATTTAAAAGATTCCCTTGGGATAAAAAAAACCCCTATATATACACACTATTAGCATGATACACACAGAGGTTAGATGAGTTAGAGTTTAGTTTAACAGGACCTTTAATCCTTTGAAATGGGTAAACAAGAAAATCCTAAACTTTGAGCACTAACTGCTCAGTATCTCAACTTCATCCAACTTGCACTCTAATGAAAACACTTCAATAACATTATTTTCTTTTAGATTTATTATACTGACATATCAGTGCATCTGTCAGAAACAGCAGGCTTTCAGAAGACATTTCACCTTAATATTGTTGAGGTTACGATTAAGGTTTGTGGCTTGAGTGCAATTCTAATGAAACTGGGGTGCATACTGCATTTGGATGTCTGCTGGGGTTGCAAACAATGGCACTGGTATGTGTTACTGACAGTGTTAATAGTGCTACAGACCAACAACGTCCAAATCATCTGACCTCATGGACTGGATGAGTGATGTGGGACTGGTCTGCATCCTGGATCCAGCATGTTAAGCTCTGACATCTGGCCTGCCGGCTTGGAATTTGGCATTGTCAGTGTTAATTCCTGCTGCTGCATCCCCATATTTGGGGCCCGGAAGGCCAGATATGACTCCACACTTCAGACATGGTTCACAGGCTTCCTCACAGGTCTGAAAATTTGGCAGCAGGATGAAGTAGCAGCAATATTAACTGGCCTTGGAACTGCAAAAATTAACCCTGCCACTGCTCACCACTCCAAATTTCCAAACCTGTGGAGAGGCCCAGGGCCCTTGATAACATTGTCCCATGGCCTGTTTCTCTGTAACGCCCATTGTATCCAACTTGAAGTTGGAAAGCAATGCATCTCCACCTACTTAACTTCACCATTTGCATCATTTTAGGTGGATGGGTTTTGTTTTGTAACAAAATTAACTGTCCCTAAATGTAGTTTTTGTTTGCTATTTTTTGTTTCAATGTGTGTCAAAAGCAATACTGTGCATGAAATTTTGTATCTTCATCTACTTTTTGTTACCATGTTGAGTAAAAATACAACATATCCATTTTGAGGCCTATATTACCCTAAGGCCCTGATCTTGTAACTAGTTGCATATGGGCACATTTCTGAACATATAACTGAAGGAAGGCAACTAGTGCAGCACTATCTTTGGAAGGGGCCCCCAAAATAGCTGCTGCCAGTGCCAGCAAAGCAACTGGTGCTGCCCAGTGAGCTGCTGCTACCCAGAGCACAGAGATGCCATTATACCTCTGCCTGCACTCACGAAATCACAGGGTGACTATACACATGTTCAGGAGTAGGGAGGGGCCATTTTAGTTACAATAGTTCCCCGAGAGCTGCTCTAATTAAAACAGCTCACTGTCACATGTATTAAGCCACCCATATTTTAAAATGGATGTGGGGGCACTTTAACCAAAGCTTGTTGAATGAGCGTTAGTTAAAGCACCCCTGCAGCCATTTTAAAATGTGGGGGTGCTTAATACACATGATAAGGTGATACTGGAGCATTCTAATTAGAATGTGTTCTAATTAAAACGCAAATCATCATGTCTATAGGTAGCCACAGTCTTGAGGATCAGAACCACAGTTCAAAAAATAAATTTAAGCATCTACTCAGTATGAGAGAATTAAGAGTCCTATTATGCTAGTTGCAATATCCAGATATATTTTTATTGAAAAAGCAAACTTTCTAAAGATTGGTGGAAAAAATAATTTATTGAAATTCTTCTACATGTTAACATGAAACATTTATACACATATATTTAGTGCTGGTAAGATAGATATACTAGATATAGACAAACTTTTTTATACACAAAAGTAATTGCACTGTACTATCTTAGTTTTATACAGCTAATATTCAGAAAATGTTGGTGGGCTCAAAATGGATGTATACAGGAATTCAATGTACTTTGAAGATGACTTAATTCTTGACAGGTTGTCCAGAACATTAAAATATTCAGTAAAGAATAATACAACATCATTTCTGAAAATTAACAAGACCATACCAAAAGGCTTTGCCCAACAGCTGTGTCTCAGCAAGAAGCCTTTCATTTTCAGAGGGGTTCTACTGGAAAAGAATGAAAACAATACAGATGGCACAAAACTGTCCAGTAATCTATTTGCACAAGTTAGCTGCATGTAATTAATATGGAAAAATAAGAAATACATTCTAAGTGAACAGCATTTGAGTAAAAGTACCTTTACACATAATTCAAAATTGCAATGTTAGACAAAGACCTGTTATTTTCAATATACAAAATGTAAATGTATTATCTACAGAAGGAAACTGTATAACAACATCAAGAGAGACACTGTTTTCTGATGAGCAACTGGCACAGTGCAACAAGTATTATTCCCAGAAGCAACTGGAATGCACTATGAGGGCAGACTGAAAAAATAATGGACATTAACAGAATATTTCTCATAAATTAGTGACCTGGCTTCATCGTTCTTTCTATCAAATGAAACTTTTGCCTTTCCAGATATGGTGTGTATTCACACAAATAGTCAAAATATAGAAAACTACCACTACACTGCAGAGATGAAAATGAAGACAGCATGTGAGGCAGATTAATATGGTTAGCTAGGGCACAAACAATGCTAAATGCCATTAAGTATTATTCAATATCTGGAATATGAGAAGGGTCACATGATCCACCAAAAAAAAAAAAAGAGGCTTGACATGCACTCATAGCAGAAAGACAACAACAACAAAAGCAGAAGCAAAAAATCTGAATGAGAATTTGAAGGAAAGTGAATATGATTCTGGGTTTGGATAGATGGCCAAATGAGAAATGCAAAGTGAAGTAATACCCACAAACCATCATTACTGCCAGACCAGCTGGTTGGAAACAGTATTGCACCCTATCCAGTGTCTTCTTCCTCTTCCCCCAGTTCAGTAAGCATCTTGCTTTATTTCCTTGAGTGCATGTAAGGAAAGTTTAAGAAGTAAGGAATTTTCTTTGAAGCAATAAGACTGCAAATCAATGTAGTAACAAAATAGGTTTGATATTTGTTGCTGTAACTTTGATATTGAAAATGAAAAGACAGCTTGGTATCAGCCCCTGTGTATGCAGAAAGATAATCCTTTATTAAAAGATGTGCCAATGCTCCCCTGATCGCTATCCAGCTCTGGCTCCAACTAGAACCTGACTATGGGAGGCTCCTCTTAAGCCTGGGTCAGCCACAAAATAAACAAAGCGCAAACCAATCCCAGAATGCCCCTATCTGTTTATGCAGAACAGTCAGGAATGTATCATCTGACAAGCTTAAACCAATGATGGCGGATGCCAGAGAGGGTATGGACAGGGGATAGATCACTTTAGATATATATCTACACCCTGTTGATATATTCTCCCTCTAAATCATCTCTTACTGCCTCTGTTGGAAACAGCATAAAGGACTAGATCAGTGGTGCTCAACCTTTCTGGCTGGCAAACCAGATGAACAGTGCCCAAGCTGTCTGTGGGCTCAATCCAACTGGCGGTCTCAATCTGCCATGGGAAGGTCGCAACAGGGCCCAATCCAGCTGTGCAGAGTGGGGCAGGGGGCAGCTTGGCTCTAACACAGCCCTGCAGGGGAAACAAGCGTGGCCCAGCCCAAATCTGGCCCCACAGGGGGAAGAGTGTGGCCAAGACTAAGCCAGCCCTGCAGGTGGGGAGAGGACATGGCCCAGCCCAATCCAACCCAGTGGGAGGGCCCTGGCCTGGTCCCATCCAGCTGTAGTAGAGAAGGGGAGGTGGTGTGACCTGGTCCCAACCCACTACATGGTTTGGGGTTTGTGAATTTGGTAGCAGGGGTGGTTAGCTATATTTACTGCTACCACTCCCGCCACTCTCACATTTCCTGATTAACGGGGAGCCCTGCAGGCTGGATACCTATGGCCCCCGCAAACTACATTTGGTCCACGGGCTGGAGGTTGAGTATCCCTGGGCTAGATGGACCACTGGTCTAATTCAGTATGGCACTTTTTTATGTTACGTCCTTATGGAAACATCTGTAGTCAGAGAAAATGCTAAAGCAAGGGGGAGTCCATATTACTACTGTGCACATGAGTAAGTTATGCTCTTGCTGGGCAGGTACATGGCCCCATATGTGCATACATGGGAAAGTGTAAGTCCTGAAATTGTAGCTGGGTAAAACCCCATAGCTAGTTGGTCTGAGAAGGAAGGAGGGCCTTGCAGTGTTTTAGCCTAATAGCCTCATGGTTAGAGTACGCATGCAGGAAATGGGACACAGGTCCTAGGCTCCTCTCAGCCAGAGCTTCACCAGTGAGCATTCAGTATTCAGTGCAGAGCAGTGGGGTAATTTCTACCCCACTGGGAGCAAGGGTCCAGACTAGAACCGAAGAGCGTCTCCCTTCCAGGGATGCAACTCTCACTGAGCCATACACCCTCTATCTTGCTCTCTCTTTCTTGGTCCCTCATATATCCATCTTTCAGCTGCCTAGGGGGCCAGCTTCAAGAGGAGGACTGGAGTGGGCTTAATGCCCAACTTGAAGCCTGGTTGGGGCACTGTGCTGGGAAGTCAGAAACATGTAGATTCAGAGCCTCTGTGAGTGAAGGGGGGTTAAAACCCTGAGGCAAGTGCCAGTAAACATGAGAGGCTCTGGTCATAAAAGTTTCTGCTTGGTACAATTTCCTGATTTAAACTGGCCCAGGGCAGACACTTACACTTAGCACTTCTATTCCACGTGGACTTGCAAGTGCCAAAAACAGCAGTTATGTAGGAGTTATTCTGTCCATAGGCTCTAATCTTCTCTCTGATTCTCCCTCTGGCTCTAAGTAACTTGACATATTGTCAAAGGCAGCCTTTAATTTTTGGTGCCTTAATGTTTGGGAACCAGGCCTGAAACATTTTAGATATCATATTCAGAATATTTTCAGAGCAGATGCAACTCTGGATAGGTATATTTTATTAGACTGAGTATATTTTTTGCCCTCTGGAAAACAGGATTAGAACATACTGATGTTTGTAAAATACCTTGTAAATTAAAATAGTTATATAAATGCTAAATATTACTAATATTAAATCAGTAGACTTGTTCTGTGAACATTTTAAAATTTAAAAAGCTTTTAAATACATGCGTAAGCTACAAGTACAGTACCAATCTAACTATGCACTGTACTCTAATATTACATTTAAAAATAGCATGTGCCATTTTAAAAAGGTGTTCTATTGTTTATGCTGTAATAATACATTTTTAACATTTTCTAAGGCACCTTTAAAATCTGACTATGGCTCTCAAAGTGAAAGCAAGCTATGTAAAAATATACAATGACTTTATATTTCATTAAAAATATAATTAGAAAATTATTATCCAAAGATGGCGCACACACTATTCATGGAAGTAACAATATCTGTTACAGAATATACATATAAGTTTTTCTGAGATAAAATATAATATCCCCTGATTTTAATACACTAAGCTAAGAAATAGTCACATGTAGTAGCTACCATCAAAAAGTCAATATTCACTTATTTATATACCTGCAATAATAGTTGTGGTTAAAATTTTCTAAACTGCCTGAATTGGGCTCTCAGGAGTTTTTATGCCTGTACACGTACACAAGTCACTGAGAGGCAAACTAGGATGTGAACTTAAAGCATTTCAACTGTTCATGGTAACACCACATGTGCATGTTTTTACTCCCACAATAAGAGTAAGTTAGCTTACCCCATTCGCACCAAGTGCTAACCTATCTCGCACTTTCAATGGCATAAGAACATACACACAGGCAGTTATCTTGTAGTTGCTGACATACGTACATTGACACCCAAGCTTACCTCACAGTAACTTGTTTGTGTATCCATACACTTAAGACTCCTGAGAGCCTGACTCGCTTGAAAAAAAAGTTTATGTTGCTAAGCCCCATACACATTTTAGAAAATTTTAAACCACAATTATAGCTGCAGGTATGTGAATAAGTGAGTCTGGATTTTTTTTTTTTTTTTTTTTTTTTGTTTTTTT